TATATCCCTTCGGCCGCCAGCTTGCCATTAATGTTCACTGTTGTTTTATTGTTTTTATCATTATTTTATATATCTCTTCGGCCGCCAGCTTGCCATTAATGTTCCCTGTTGTTTTATTGTTTTTATCATTAGCATGGTTGTTTATGACTATGTGTCCTTCTTAGCTGCCCAGAGTAGTGGCCTAGCTACTAGTTGGGCAAGATATGAATGTAAATAAATAAATAAATAACAGTAGGAAAAGGAAAGAATGCATCACAAGACCATTTAACACAGGTCAGAATAGTTGGGGCAACTTACGATGGCTTATTATAGGATGCCAACTGCATTTTGAGAAGGAAAGAATGCATCACAAGAAGACCATTTAACGCAGGTCAGAATAGTTGAGGCAACTTACGATAGCTTATTATAGGATGCCAACTGCATTTTGAGAACATTAACTCAAGCTGCAGTATTCAAAAAGAAAAACAACAATAGAAAGACTGTTCTCTAGAATTATGAGTTTCTGTAAAAGGGACATCACTGGAAATTATGGACGTGGAGAACTAAGTTGGGTGTTGACTGTCCAGTTTGGAACAGGATGAAGACTGTTATCGTGTACATATATCCACATGGGAGCAATTCCCATTGAGCTGGATGGTGGTGTCCCCTGAAATGTGAAATTCTTAACCATGAGCTAATAGTAGCAGAAATAATCAAAAGAGCATTTAATTTTTAAGAAGAGTTTTTGTACTCAGGTATTTCAAACAAAAAGGCAAAAAAAATCTGATTTCTAAGATTCCTATACAGACACTGTTGATTTTTCCCCTCACTGGCTGCAACTTGTGGAGAAGATGAGTGAACAAGCCATTCAAACTATCATTTTCTTAAAAAAAAAAAACACCATTTAAGATTTACAATTTAAAGGCATAAAAAGCTGTACTTGAAATGGCTGTTATCTGGATGAGTACATTTTGGTAAACTCTGTAATTTATCTTCAAAGTCAAACTACTGTTTCTCTAAATCTTGATGCTGCTCCCTATATGAAAGAAGTTAATTAAAATTAAATAAGTTAAACATGGCTCTGCCTTCAGTTTTGTTTCTTTTGAAAGAACTGAACTACTAGTGGAATCCTGTGTCAAAATTTTATTGAATCCTTACAGGAAGATACACCTCTTCTCAGTTCAGTTCTCTATGCATGAGGCCTGAATGTTAACAGTACGTTGTGTGTACTTGGCCAGAAAGGGAAGCAAAGGTGGTTTTGGAATGCTAGTGACTCAAGGAGTAAAAATACCACTCCTTGGAAAACTTACAAAGCAGATCTCTTCAGACATTTAAGAACATACAAAATAGGAAAAACAGTAACAACCTATGATGGCTTATTATATTATTAATATTATATTATCTTTGCATATGCCCATTTTCAGATAGGTGAAAAAAATCTCAAGAGAACTGTCTTGACCTATTTGCCAGTGCTCCAAATATGAAAACCTCTCCCCCGCTAACCACGATGCTACTTAGGATACCGGTGTGGATTTCTGTGGGGAAGGGCTTGTGAGCTTGATCCTGATGCCAATCAAACACATTCCTGGGTTGACCACATGCGTAGAGCAATGATTCCCAACTGTTTTTGAGTCATGATGCCCTTTTATAATAGCCAAGTGACCTGTGTTTCCCCTGCCATGTTTACATTAAAAGGTATTTTGAATTGGGTAAATTAATCCTTTCTCAGAAAGTAGAGGCTTCTTTCTCCCAAAGGGACTGTTTTTCTTTTTTAAAGATGGCTTAATCCATCCCTAGTGGTAGATTAGACACAGGAGACTCAGGTGATGCTTTCAGGAACCTCAAGAAAACAAAGTCAACCTTAACATTTAACAATTCGAAAGTGTGGTCCCAAAGTCCTCCTACACCTTCCGTCTCTAAGTCCATTGTTGCCAGTTCTGGTGATAACAGCAACGGGCAATTGTTCTCCCTAAAGGTCTCGGGTGCTCGCGGGCTCATCTCCCTGGAGTTGGATGCCCCAGGTTCCTGAGCTGTATATGTTGTCGACCTGGATTCGTTCATCCATCTCTCTCTTTCCTTCTCTATCTTAGTCCTCTCCTCTCTGATCCTTCTTCCCCACTCTTGAGCCTCTTTCTCTGCCCAGTACAATGGCATTTGGGGTACCTTGTCTCTTCATCTCCTGCCAGCCTCTTCACATGACACCATCAATTTCTCCCATTAATGGGTCATGTGTTTAAAATCCAAATCCATTTCCCATCCTGGGTGCAGGATCTTCCTCTCCCTCCCTGCCTCTGACTCCTCCCTCTCCTCCCTCTCTCCTCTTCCTATCCCCTCACTTCTTCTCCCACTCTTTTTCCTTCACGAATCACTGTCCATTCTTTTCGTGCTCTTGTAACTGTCTTTCTCCTTTCCCCATCTTTTGGTTTTTTTCCCCCCTCTGCTTCTCTAGCGGTCTCCCATCTCCCAGTTCCTTCTTCAGTTCCCATCTCTTTCATCTCATTCTGGACCCCCTTTTCTTGGGGGATGGATGGCGGAGATGTACTCAGATCTGCCCCCAGGCTCAGTTTCTCATACATACATATACACCCTAATTTAAATATCCCTCTCTGAAATGAAAGGTCAAGGAAAATATTATTTAACAAAGGCTACAACACATACAAAGCAACCTGCAACCCCTCAGAAAACACTTTGTGGTCCCATAAATTTCTGCTAAGCCCCTGCAAATCTGAGAGCTAAGGTAACCCATTCTTTCATCAGATCTAACTCCTAATTCCTCATTTGTTGATTCAAAAGATACAAGAGACCACATTATCCACTTTATAGTATCTGGGAAATCTTTTCATGTCTATTTGAGGAAATCTATTTGCTCCATTTTCATTTCTTCAGCAGATGGTTGCCAAGTCTAGTTCCCTCATTCTTAACTGGAAGTGGACATTTCTTTCTGTCTTAATCTTACCTGTTCCTTTTTCTAATTCTAGCTCTCTTAATCTTACATGTTCCCTTTCAATTTCCCTTTTTATTTTCCTGATTTCCAAACTCTGGAACATCAATAGGGTTTGTGGGCATGACCTGCACAGTTTTCTCAATACCAGCTGGTTCTGTTTCAAAAATTTCAATTCCTGATTCTGTAGTCTTTTTATGAGTCATATATTTGTATTTCCTTACAATAACCCCAAAACTATTACCTCAGGAAACGCATTTAAAATCTTCTTGACATGTGTCTCTGTTTCCAAGCTAAATTTCATCAGTGATTCTCTACCAAATTTTACCCCAGGAGGTCACTGCACCAATGTTAGTCCTCCTCAGCTTACCAGCAGCCCTCTTATTTAACTACCTCAAACTTTTACCTCCGAGAAGCACTCTTACAGGTTGACAGACACCTTTCTCTCAAATTCTAAACTCCATCACTGAGTTAGAATTACAGCTACTAAGTCTCCAAATCCCCCTACTCAGGATCTTCCAAGACCTCTTCTGGATTGTCAAAATCCCCACTGGATTTCTGGATCCCACTGCTGCCACCAGTTTGTGACCTGGTCTAACCCAAGCTTGTCACTTTTTAAAATACTGTAACCTTCTAGTACCACATTTGACACCAGCCATTAACCTATGAGAACCTCGCCAAGACGAATGAAATGTATTCGTCTTACGAGGCATCTGTCTGGGGGGGGGGGAACTGTCTTGCGAAGCATGGCCATAGACCACACCGTCTTGTGAGGTACCACAGTATTGGCATAGAAGGCGCGTAACAGTGAATAGAGTGACGAACGAGGGTTTGAATCTCCGCTCTGCCATGGAAATAGACCAAACAGTCTTGTGAGGTACCACAGTATTGGCACAGAAGGCGCGTACAGTGAATAGAGTGACGGACGAGGGTTTGAATCTCCACTCTGTCATGGAAACCCACTGAGGAAGTGGAACTAGCAAAACCACTCCTTAAATATCAAACCTTTAAAGCCTTATTAGGGTAACTATAAGTCAGTTCTAATTTGAGAGTTGATAACAACATAAATTGGTATACTTGAACAAATCAGGAGCCCGTGCGCAGATCGGCTATACACTTGTTTCTCTTCCTTTGGCCTCATCTGAAACTTGTTGAATGTTTCAACTCCCAAGTCTCAATTCCATGTGCTTCACAATTTTGCTATCACATTCTTTGCAGCAGCTGCGTGCCATTTCCAGGAAACCTATTGAGAAGAGACTGAAAACTTGTTCGTAGGTAAAAGAGATGGAGACCGAAATCTGTCACATAGAGACAATAGTATCAATTGGAAACAACTCACCAGCCTTTTGTACGACAATCAAGGTTATTTTTTATAATCCTACAGAAATCTTCTCATCAAAAGGATGCTAAAAATACCTTTTAAATAAGCTTTCAAGGGCATACTCTCCAGAGTTAGTTCCATACATCGTTTAGAAATCTTAGGTTTCTTTTTGGTTTAATTTTCGTTAGTATGTCACTGCTGGTTTGTGGTGTGGCATTTATGGGTTATTTTTTCTTGACTGTAAATCGTCCTGAGTAGTGCCTGGCGCTAAGTCATAAAAACCCATTCGGTAGTACACCCCACTGATTTGCACCCTCCAAAAAAAAAAAGGCATGCAGCACCTTTTTCCAACCTGGCGTTCTCGAGGTCTGATGGACGACGGCCTCTTTCATCTCCAGCCAGGGCACTAGTTTGGGGGGGGGGGGCGTGCAAAAGCAGCTACTCTAGTATACAAAATTAAATCATCCCTAACGCTTTTAAATTATGCACTGAAAGCTATGCATTCCTGACCTTGCCCGGCGAATCTGGCCAATGTATGGCAGAATCCAGTCCCCATTTGTAGAAGCAATAAGAAATACTTCAAACGAAGCATCCCCCAGCTATAGCAGTCATCCACTGCGATAGCGTGGATCTAGAAAAACCACTTCGCAATCGCACGGGAAGATGCTGTAGAAAGCACTCTTCTTTTTTTGCTACCTCTATAGTCGCGCGCGGCTGCCAAAGCGGAAGGGAGGGGTACAAGGGAAAAGAGGAAGCCACTGTTAGTCACGTGTCAGCTACGGCTTTCAGTGGTCACATGACGGAGGAGACTTAAAGGGAATGCTACTGTGGCTTGAGGAAGGTCTGCTGAAACCTTAATCCCGGAAGAGAGCGGAGGTTGGTAAGGGGAGAGGGGGGGAACAGTGTGTGTGTGTGTGGGGTGCG